ACGATCACCGGTTTTGGGTCCCGATCCAGATTGCGATTCCGGTCACGTTTTCGGTCACGTTTTCGACGATTGTTACGGCTTTAACCGGATTTCCCTCTAACAATATAAAGATCGTCAAATAGTAATTTGGCAACTTTATATATAAAAAATCTCTTTATATTTGACTTAGTTTATGAGTATTTAATAGTTCGTATATAATTTTGTTTGTCTTGTACCAAATCCCAAACCCTTACACTTACACTACATATATAATAAACAAGTATATTTTAAAAGTATAAGGTTGTAAAGAATCGTGTACGGTTATACATAATTTGTATTAAGTAAAAGTACTGTACTAGTACGTATATAATAATGACAATGAAAATTGGTTTTTTTTTTAATTTAGAGTTAATTTTTATAATCACTAATTATAAAATTTTAAATAAGTGAATGGAGTTTTCAGATTATACGGATTATAATAAATTTGAATATAATGATCCTGACAAAGAATATGAGCTTCTTGACGATGAAAACTATTCTACATCTTCAACAATTCCAGCAAATAATAATGGACAAAGTAATTTTGATATTGGTTTTGATGAAAAATTTTGATGTTGAGCAAGATTATGAGGAGTTACGAAAGGATATAAAATTGGGATGTTTAACTAAACCGCCAAACATTGTAAACTTAGAACCTGGTGGTAATCCTAATAATACAGAGAATATTCATACGGCAGCTAGAAGGTATTATAATGATATTAGTGCAGGGTGAGATCGGGCATTTAGAGTTAGCATGTGATGAAGCGATCTTTAGAAAATTATGTTCATTGAATGAAACTCAATTAGATATTCGATTACTATTAGATGCCTGGCATACTTCAAAAGCCATGTGTGCTACGATTTAGCAATATTTTCAGGGTACGGTATTTATGATTTGGCAGCGCATCTTGGCGTTTGTTATCTAGACAAATTTGAAAAAGAGATTGACTATTCTGCTACTTGCCGTGTTTTGGAACTTATTTGGGTAGCAGTTGGCATTGCTTTGGCTCAGTATTCTAAAAAAGAAAATTGTAAGATGAGAAGCATTCTGAATGGGAGCAATAATCTTTTATAAGTATTGTATATATTTTTTTGCTGGACTGGATTCTGGCTTGGCCATAATTTGGGATTAGGTATGGTAATTACGATTATCAGCTTCAAAATCTTTATGCCTTTGCGCCACTTTTTCCGGAATAATTATGCACAATCAATTACCCATTTTATATCAACTGTTGGAAAGGATGTAGGTTTGCAGAATATAATTCGACATGTTAGTTCTGTTAACCTTACACGCCCCGGCCACTATTTCGCCTTCGATGAGGAATTAGAACGGTTTGGTGTGATGTACGTTAAACAAAATATTGGATCAGCAAAGCAATCTATAGATGAACTAAAATTACAAATAATGTCAATACAGGCAGAACGTGATCGTTTAAACTTCTTAGTGAATATGTTGGCGACAGTTCTTCAACATCAACAAACCGCAATATAAAGTCTCGAAAGGAAATTAGTAGCTGATTTACGGTTAGCATTCGAATGTTCTAATCTGGCAGAATGTGAACTTTTTAAGGGGGCAACTCAGAATACAGAAGAGGGGTTCCAAAAATTATTTTGTTGTTATAATATAGGTATAAACTGACTTCATAGCATTTATAAACAAGACGTTGAGCGATCTATTGCACGAAGCACAATTGGGCGACGTATGAAAAATGTTATTACTAATACGATCGCTCAACAAAAAAAAAAGAATATCGAGACTAAAACTAAACAACAAAAACGTCAAAAAACAAAATAAGAATTCTAAAACTTCTAAATAACAGTAAGCTTTAGTTGGTAATTCGCTAATTTATTAATTCTATAATTGTTATTTTTATACCTAAGCTGTTATATAATATAACTAACACTAGTTATGATGACTAAATTTTATATAATATTCACAAGTATTCGAATAAATAAATAAAACACTAGGCTTGTCATTACCGTAGTTCTCTAAAATCAGCCAAAATGGAAAACCAGTGGATTTTAAGTGATAGACATTTATTAATGAGAGACGCTAATAGAATTGGAGTTCAAAAGATCATTGTTAATCTGAACAAGAAAATGCAAATTGAATGGGTTAAAAAAAATAAACTAAAATAAATAATAGGCGCTAATTAATTATTTAAAATATAGAATTAGAGATCGCAAAGTTTAAAATAGGAAATCCTAGTTATTGGAGCCAGAAAGAATGAACATGAGGATTCATGGAAAACGCGAACTCAAAAAAAATATATTAATGAAAGTAACACTAGTAAATAGGGCAGCCGAAATAGAAAATATTATTGCTATTGGGATTGAATACAAAAAGATGGATATAAAGCATTCGTTATAAAATAGAAAAGCTAATACAGGAGCGAAAAAGATGAACATAAGACATAACAAATTCCTATAGATTGCTTTGTCCAACTCAATTGGAAATTACAAATCCAGGTAAAATTTACGCATCTATCTATAATGTTGGTCTTTAATTAATTAGAATGACTTACGTTTAGGGGTGGGTCGGTTACGGTTATGACCGGTCAATGACCGGTCATAACCGTAACCGATATCGGTCTGTCAAAGGTTTGTGACCGACCTGCTAAAATCCTGACCGATACTATTTTTGCGATGTTAATTGATTCATTACAATTTTTGTTATTATATTACGCAATAATAAGCGATTTGAAAATAATATTTTTTCTTGATGTTAATCACATGTAGATGAGCGCAATGCCATAATTGGTTGTAATTATAATGAATTATGTACGTAATTCATTATAATAACAGCTAATTACAGCATTTGCTTACATGATCTAATATTTATAAATAAAATTATTTATTTTAATTAAGATAATACGCATTAATTAATAAATTTAATGATGACACTCATACTCGATGACCGTGATTCTCGTAATTTAGAAGTGCAACGAAAGATGTTTAAGGATAAGTTAGTAATCTTGAATATCACATATGGATAGAGATGGGCAAATCGCGGTTTTTCAAAAAATCCCGCGCGTGACGCGCGGGATTCATTAAATCTAGATGCCGCGTGGTTGAACCTCAATTTTGATTGGCCAACGCTGTAATCGACAAAATTTTGGCCGCATTATACATAATTTTGGCCGGAGTTTAATTTTTTAATTGTTTAAGGTTTGGTTTGTGTAATGGTAAAATTAACCCAGGAACATATTTCACTTAGGGTTGAAAATTACATTTTACAAATTTACAATACATG